CGGTACGGTACGGTACGGTACGGTACGGTACGGTACGGTACGGTAGGAGGGTAGGGAGGGAGGGAGGGAGGGGAGGGAGGGAGGGAGGGAGGGGGGGGGAGGGGGAGGGAGAGAGAGAGAGAAGAGAGAGAGGGAGCGGGGAATTAGGGGAAAAATCAGGTTAGTTTATGAGAAAAATTGTGAATTTGGTCGAAAAGGCACAGAGGAGGTTGGATGCACGATTAGTGATAGCTTTTGTGCATGTGACATGTTTTCTGACACATTGGTTTGGGGGAGGGATTACGATAAAAATATCCCTAATAATAATAAAAAATGATGATTGATGGTGATGATGTTATTGCAGTCCCTGCAGACTATTGTCAGTAAAACAAGTAATCCTAATTTACAAATTAGATTCAAATCTCAGAGGTTTAGTCAAGTTAGAGGAAACATAGATGACAGAGGGGGGGACAACAACAAACTTCCTGGTTGAACTTCTGCTGCAGAATTCTTCCCAATAAGCTTTCTTTTCCTATTATTCCTAATTGTTAAACATGTTGCAATTTCATTGGTCTGTATGACAGTTTACCAAGGATTTAGCCCAATAATATATCATTATATCAGTCCTTTCCTTTTTTAAGCTCTTTAGAGATTTTAACATTGTTCATTTGATCCCTTTGTAATCAATAATAATTATTTATGATTAGCATCGATAACTATATCATTCAAATGGAAGGCTCTAAAAGGGTAAGGGGAAGGCTCAAAAGGACAAGAATAGAAGTAGTAATTGGTCTTACTGAGGGTATGGCCCTTGATAGAGAAGAACGAAGGAACAATATTCCTATAGCCGACCCCAAATAATTGGGATAAGACTTGGATAATGATGATGATGATGATTGATAATTATATCATTAAGGAAAAATAGAAAACAGCCCCACAAGTCCATCTACTCTCTGTTTACACCCTAAATTGCAAATTTACACGGCATTAAACTCTCAGGGTATTTAACAGTAAAGAAAAACTGCAATGAATTAGCTATTGTGGCCTTTGAATATGACATTCGGTAATAAGGCTTTAGATTTTGCATGGGACTCAAGGCATTACTGTTACTTCCCCATATGGTAGACCTTGATTAACAAGAGGGAAAGGAGCATGTGCAAATGGATATAAAAAATATGTGGGAAGGTTTTGGTCCACTATCTGTATCATATGACAAAGACACTAGAAAGATTTTATTTCCCAACATACCAACACCAACTATTTTTTGATATTACGACTTTGTCCTTTGCACATCAATACATATCATCAGTAGAGACATGCATGTGCAGTCCACTCATAACAAAGTAGCTTGGAGTTCAAGAGAAGCATGCTCATCCACAGCATGTGCCTATTCTAAGAAACACACAAGTTCTAAAATTAAGTTTTCCTAAAAATAAATAATATACACAAAGAAATGGAAGACGCACCTCGCCAAATGCACCCCTCCCAATAATTGTCAGCAGCTCAAAATCATCAACACCCATTTTATGCCTCTGAAGACGCATGTATTCAGTCTCTTTTTTCTCCAAGTACTTCAGAAGATTGTTCTGCTCTTCTTCTGACACCTCAGCATCAGCCAGCTTCCTCTCTAAGATCCAACGTCTAGGAAAGAGGTAAAAAAAGAAATATAGAAGTTCTAAACGATCAGATTAAGCTTAATCAAATTCACCTTCAATTTTACTTCCAGTAAAGCATATTGTTTTTATGTCATTATATATACATATATAAAGCATGGTAATAATATGGTTTTAGACAGCAACTCAATAAGCAGATTCACCTCAACAAACAAAGAAAATCAAAGATCCTTTGAGAACAAATCAATAAACAGATATCTGTGTGGTTATATCACCAATAAAGAAATGAAAAAAAAATAGTTTAAATAAAAAACTGGAGGTTAAAAATAAGACTCAAGAAAGTCAGTTTATGAGAATGAAGACAATAAGTATACATATTCACAAGCTACTGAAAAACCCAAAAATGACATGGAAGAATTTGGAAAGTTGCCAGGACTCGCGCCAAAGGCTAGTAAGCAAAGCACAATAACACTTCTTTTGTTTACAATAATTCAACAAAAGAATTTATTTAAGTAACCATAAGTAGGTTAAAAAATAGGGTGCTTTATTAAGAGGACGATATGATCAAAGAACAATATAAATAAGGGTGTGGTTTGCACAAGGTTGCAACCTTAAACAATCAAATAAAGGTGCACCTCCAAAATTTATCATGAGATACAATTTTGGTGTTGAAAATGTTAGGATGGTGTGAGAATCTATTTTTATCTCTAATTATAAAATTTTAAACTCCAAAAATGGTGCACATCAAGCCGACCTATAAAACACATGAAAATCCTGAAAATGGATGGTTTAGATAATGAGTTGCAATATATACTATTTTTAGGACTTGAAAGATCTTTTTTTCTCCATATCTATACATCTCGATGTTGAAATGATCAATTAGATATTTTTCCAACATCAAAACAACCTTTTTCAAAGGATTTTAAAGTTGCACCTTAATTCTACATTTTAAGGTGGCAACCTTATATAAACTTTTTCCTATAAATAATGACCATCTTCAGATAAGTCTATATAAAAGCCCTTACTTGAATCCCAGAGGCGACTGAAAACTAGTGAATGCCATCAAACCCAAATTAAAATAATTTATACAAATCACGAGCAATTCCAAACTTTTAAGTCAGTAGGAAAGAAAAACTAAGCAACTAAGCCACTGGTAATTTACTCGAAATGTCTTTGACACGGGCATCCAACTTTTCTTCTTTTTTCTTTTTTTTATATTCTACCACCATATTTTCTCTGACTTTAAAGAGATATAGTTGCAATATCATGGTTTCTTCAGAATTATCAAAAAAGTTATGGGTCTCTCCAGAAATTCTAGAAATACAATTAATTCCAATTAAATAAAGAAGAGTGCTTTCAATTAAATATCTCATTCGTTATTTCATTTTCAGTTGATCTGCATTTCGTTATGGTATTTCGCTGATACATTTTAAAGGGGTTCCAGGATTGCTTTATCCAATCTTAAAATCTTCCAAGTTCTTTAAATTATGAGTCAGTGTCATGATTTTCTAATGTGACAATTTCAAAAGCAAGGCAAACTCAAACCAATTTTTTTTTTTAATCTTTAAACTGATTAACATACAATATCTAACGAGTCCTTACCTCTCCTTACGCTCCTGCAAGCTTTTCATTTGTGCCTTGTAATGGTTCTCGATATACTGTTTTGCAGCCGCAACCTTCTGCTTGGTGGTATTTGATGGAGCCTCCTCACTTGCAGGCTTATGTCCATCCTTCCCATTCTCCGATTCCTTCTTCTTGGCTGATGATTTCACCTTGTCCCCTCTATGCTGGAGCTTATGAAACCAGCTTCTTGCCGATTCCATATCTGATAACTAGAAACCCATTTCAATTCGACCAATAACCAAAAATCCCAATACCCCAAATGTGTATATTGATATTGTCAAGACTCAAATTCAAAAACGATAAACCATGGTTTGAATCTTCAATGGCTAGGTTTTTTGAGTAAATCTTCAATGGCCAAGTTTCCAGAATCAAACACTATTCTTTACAGATAGACTCACAGAAACCGTGTAAGGACTCTAATATCCTCAAATAGACTTGAAATTTATGTACCAAATCCAAACCTAGAACTCTCAATTATCTACCAAAATGCAGAGTTTTGCACAAATACGGTCATTCCGTATTCGATAAATTTCACAATTTTCAGAAACAGCAGTTTATCCTCACCGAACAATCACTACAAACCCTAAACAACAAAACTAGATCTCAATTCTCCACTGAATTTAATCCCCACACACTCAAACTCTACCAAACCATACAATCAGGCATCTCAATACACTAATTCCAATCAAACACGGCATGAATCCACAGAAATTTACAGCAAAAGCGCACACTTTAACTAAGAAACCATCAAAATAGGTCCTAAGTAGCACAAATGACGCTTAATTCTCCATGAAATTCAACCTCACAGTGCTCAAACTTCATCAAATCACATTAAAACTTCATCTAAACCTACAGAAATCCAAAGCCTCTGAAAATTCACCTCGAATCGCGACACCTGATGCAGTAAAACCAACAAAGCCCTAGTGGAGCCCAAACTCCCCGTATATTGCACGGAATTCAACCCTAAAAGGCTCAATCTTCACCAAACGCTGATACGAAGCACCTGAAACCGATCACTCCTCCTCATCAAACGCCATTAACGAGCACTGCGCCAAAATTAGGTTCCAGTTGATCCAAGCTTGTCTCTCTCCAGTCTCCCTTCTCTCCTCTCTCTCTCTCTAGAAAATTTAAATGGCTTTTATTAGTCGCTATACAATCAATTTTTATCGTAGTGCCCAAATTCCCGCTCCTTAAACGTCGTGCAAATTACTCTGACGTGGACAGCAGAGGTGCTCGACCGTTAACGTTGCTTCGACTTAAGGTTACTCCGGACTCCAATTCCCCAACAAAGTGGCGCATATAAATACTTCGAGTCCGCATTTTGAGCCCGTGAACTACTGCCACGTGTAAGGAAGTGACCGGAGCAGCCGGTCACAGTCAACGACGATAGCGATTGTAAAATCGACGGTGACGATGTAGGCACGTGTCTATAAGCCAGAGGGAGATCCTTTTCACGCGCTTTCGATGAGCTGGACGCCAGCCCTACACGTGGCAGACCAAGATCTGCAGGATTGATTGGTAAAGCCTCGAGTTAAGAAACCGTGTGCTCTGTCAAAAGCCCGACCCGACTCGGGTCCTGGCGAGTCACTGATTTAGCTTCATCTTTTCCTTCCCTATGGAGCTTTAGTCTCTCTCTCCACCATTTCTTAGACTACTGCATTCCTTATCCTGTGTGAGTCAGGATGGCGACGTGCTGGACCCGGTTAGGGCCAACCTTGTCCTGGGCCCAGCCCTTCTCCCCATAGGGCGGGCCGTAAAAAAAAAAACATGTAACAAATAAAATAACAAAAAAAGATGGCCGAACGAGATAGGCACCAGCCCTAGCCGCGACCTTGAGCCACAATTCATGGCCTTGCACCTACATTTTCAAGGTCATGCGGATTGGACCGGACCGGGGCATGCAACCCTTGCTAGCCCTATGTGTGAGTGCGATGTTCACTTCTTGATGCAATCTCTCTCGACAATATCTACAACTTGTGTTTTTCTCTACTCCTAGGGATTTGAGCAGACCTATGAACCAAACAGGTCGATTTGACACCCTATCAGTCGAGTCTGGTTTCAGATAACTTAGATTGAAGTTGGGTCCAATCTAAGTCTACTCCTGACCTTAACTGGCCTGGAAGGGTCTGGTCCAGGTTAAGGTTAAGGTCAAACCAAACCCAATCCGATCTCCCAATAGCATATATTAGGCATCTACTCCCTCACTTAAAATACCTTCTAAGGAGGATCTTTTTTGGTCTGAAATTCTAGGAACTACCTCAGACTTGCTAGATTGTTATTTTCAAAATAAAATATTGAATTTTGAGCTTTTTTAACATTTAGATCGCCTAAAATTGAACGGTCTTTGTTCAATATTGAGACGCTAATTTTTCTAGTACATAGATATTTCAATTCAAAAAATTTTACCTGCGAAGTTAGTATGAAAAAATTGCATCCCTATAATTTAGAGCCCTAAAATTACTCCTGAGTATTACCCAAGGAGTAACTGGACATTATACTCTTATCTTTTGGCTTATATATATTTTAAAAATAATATATGTATATATATGATAAATAGGAAAAGTTTATATAGACCCGAGGCTCTAAACAATCAAATTAGAGCCTGCCTCAAAAAATTCACTAGAAAATGGCTTTTTTGATGTCCAAATATCTTCAAATCGATCATCTCGCCTCAAGATACATGGACATGAAAAAAAAAAAGATTTAAAGTTTTGAAAATGGTTATCTTATAATGCATTTTTTGACTGCCAATTTTCAAGTTTTCATATATCTGTTTGATATATATTGTTTTAAAACTTTAAAATTTATAATTAGAGGTGAAAATATATTTGAATGCTATCATAAATATTTTCAATGTTGAAACTACAATTCTCGATACTATTTAAGGTGGCGCTCTACATTGATTGTTTAGAGCCTCGGCTCTATGCAAACGGCACCCATGATAAAAATAAAAGAGAAGTAAACAAAAGACCATTTACTTTGAAGAAATGATTCTATGAGATCCTCCTACACCTATTTGTATAGGACTTTAAAGAATCACCATTGAATTTGGTATACATATCTAAAAAAGTTATCACACGAGTGAAGTATTTAATTTTTTAAAATATCTGTGTCAAATTTAATAGTGAAGAAGTCTTACACACATAGGTATAAGAAGGTCTCACAAAGTTATTTCCCTTATTTTTAATATATGAAAGTTGCCATCATTTTTACCACGTCAGATTTTAAATTTGGTGGTTATATGTATGTCATTTATTAGACTCAAAGCTAAATAAAAAAGTAAAAATCTCAAATTTCAAGACATACTCCAACCTATTCAATTTGACATTGACGTGTAATAATGAAGAGCAACTATGACCTCTTTATAAAACACCTTTCGTTTTTATTTTATCTAAATCCAGAACCACCGGACCAAGTCCCATAACCTGGACCGGCATGGGCCCGAGCCAGATTGGGTCCAAGCAAAACACATTCAAGTCTAGGTCGTGGAACCAACCTCATTAACACCCCTATTCGCTCACATCTTGTAATAACTATTGGGATGTGCTATTTGGTTATAACTCTCTCTCTCTCTCTCCT